CTTACGGCGGCACTACCCAGGGTCTACAAGCCCGACAGTGCCGGCGGTCGAGCGCACGTATAAACCAATGTGAACCGGAGGCAGTGGAGAGATCATGTAAGGTGCGATCAGTGGCTTCGGGGGGGGGAAGGTGCAGGTACACCTTGAAGGCCGTGCTCGCAAGCCGACCTACCCTGGCTTCCACTCTCAAGATCCCGACCTCTCAATAGAGGTTGTCGCCAGTCGTGCGCGGAGGTGGAACGCTGAGGACAACGACTGTTATTCTTTAAGTCCAGCCGAAGAATGGTAAGCGATGCATGTCGTTTGCGAGATGATGCACGGCGACTCCCGAGACTGAAGACGATGTGTGTCGTCGTAGACAGGTGAAGTTTGCTGGTCGAACAATCGAGATTCGCAGGAGGCGATAGTTAGAGGCGCTATTTGAAGGGATGAAACCATGACTTGAGATCCGGTGTATCCCCCCAATGAACTGTTCGAACTTCGATTTCTTTGTTAGCCTGGAGCTCATACGTCTCACTAAGGGAGCTGGTGCACTGACAGGCATCGCTTTTCATGATGCAGAGCTGCAATGAATTTATGCCGGATATGAACAAATTGTTCATCACAGGCACGACAGGCGGATAAGCTGAGTAGTCACTGACGAAAACCAACTGAGCCATATCATCTAGAGTGAAAGAGATGAGAGACAAGCCGGAGGGACTGATACGAGCTGCTCACATACTCATCAGAGCTTCCCGCTGGCTTTAATTTGCAAGGCAGAGCACGGTGGGCAAACATAAGTGTACAGACTGTTCAGACCAGGCAGGCAATCCAGAGAAACGGGATACCCTGTGCATCCTTTTGAGGCGACATCCTGCATAAATTGCACGGGACAGGCAGATCATATGGGAACATTTGACGTTTATTCAACATGTACAGTAGTTATGATACATTTTGCTTTCTTAATTCTTCAGGCTGCGCGGTCCCTAGTCAACTTCGAAATAGTGTTACAGTTGTCACGGCCACTCACCTTGCAATAGCCTCAATCTCAAAGAGCGCGCTCAGGGGAAGGCGGGCGACCTGCACCGCCGAGCGAGCAGGCTTGTGTTCGCCAAAGAATTTAGAGTAGATCGCGTTGCAGACAGCGAAATCGTCCATGTTCGCGAGGAAGACCTACATACCGCCACGCCCGAAGTCAGGGCCACGGCATGAACATGGAAGAATGAAGACGCACGGTGGTCTTGACGATCTTTCCAACCTCGCTTCCACCAGCCTCGACAACAGCCTTCAAGTTCTTCAGGGCCTGCTCCGCTTGTGCCTCAACGCCGCCCTCGACCTGCGCTTGTCAGCACACACGGCTCGTCCACGGCACAGGCCCGAACACACACCATCTTGCCCGTCGCCGGGTTGAGCCCGAGCGAGCCGGAAGCGAAGAGAAGGTCGCCGACCTTCACGGCCTGATTGTAAGGACCGACAGCAGCGGGGGCGTCTGGGACGAGCACGCGTGAGACCGCGCCGCGGCGCGTGTGAAGATAAAGGGCCACCCACCAGTGGTGGAGACCGCGGAGATGCTCGGGTGCGTGGTGACGGTCGACATGGCGCGAGGTGGTGGGTGTACAAGTCTGAGAGGGCTGCTCGACGTGCGAGAGGTGCAGAGAAGTGCACGCGGCGATGCGGACCTAGCGAGGCGGATGGTGGTGGCGAACATCTGGCGTGATCAACTTCGATATCGATGTGCTTTAAAATATTCTGGGCTAGGTTGCGTTCTCAGCTCGCCGGCGATTCCAGTCGCGCTCGCACGCTTGTTTAAGGCGGCGCGAAGGTGGGCTGGGCGCGTTCGCAACTTTGCCAAGCGTCGGCTGTCTCAGGATGGGTGTGCGCTCGGCGTTGGTGCACACGCATCATCTCTCCTGATCCTCGTTCCGGGAACATAAGTTACTTTTGAGTTGTGTTTATACAAGCTTCAATAGGGTCCCTTTCATTAACTCTCTCCGCCCCCTCCCGCGTTCGTTGTTTCAGGATGCTGTGTGTGCTGGCCCTACAATTTGGCCAGTTGATGCAGTGGACGCTTGTGTGCGACAGCTTCATACGACCGGGACTGTATGCGTCCGTCGGGGATGCCTAACATTGCCGAGAGCCTCCCATCCCCTCCGCCGCCCCAATCCCCAATCCTTTCTTCCCCTCCGCGCTGCTGCCCCTGCCTGAACCACCCAGCGCCTGACGCAGATCCTCGTACATCGCATGCGTATCCCTCGTGAAATGCGAGCCCGTAATGATATGGGGTGATAGGCTATGCAGGGGTAAAAGAGTAAAAGTCGTTGAAGGCATGCGGAAGGTGGATAGTGCCCAGCACTGTATGCAGAGGATCCGGGGAAGCGAATAAGAGTGGAGAGACGAGGACGCACAGCGCACCGTTGGAAGCCTTCGCTCACCTTTGGGGTACGTACTTATAGCCTTACAGCGTGTCCCCCAGGGTCGAAGCGTCGGGCGCCTTGAAATGTCGGCTGCCTCTTCCCGTGAGCGGTATGCAAGAGGCTCAGCAGGTCTGCCTAGGCCTGTACTGAATTAAAACCCGCAGGCAATGACCATAACTTCGCGTACGAAGACAAAAAAAATTGAGGAAAGCGAAAGGCACATGGCCTGCACGTCGACGATGTGTATTCTGACGGTAATGCATGAAGGGAACGGACAACAAAAACCGCGAAAGAAACAATAAACGCAGGGACGCGTGACGTGTCGCGGGGGGAACACGAGACGCGCCTCCGTGACCGTGACCGTGACCGCTCTGTGATGCGTCGCACGTAGCGTTTTGTGACGGCCTCCGGGGTGACGGGGCGTTGTGGGTGCTTGTTGGGCAGTGCCTGGACATCAAATCTTCGTAATTTCTTCTTGATTTCAGTGCACTGCTCCCATGAGCCCGAATGTGGATCGAGATGGCATCAGCACAGCAGTGCACGAAACATTAGTACGAGTTTTGTACAGGGGCGGGAAAAGTACACGTAACGAAGGCGCGGGCGAATACAAGATGAGTAGCGTATGCGGGCTTGAGAAAGACGCGAAGTTGCCGGACTAAGACTACAGAGTGTATAGGGTATTGGAAATGCAGAGAAGAGCCGTTTCAGAGATCTTGTGGAAAGACGAGTAGCGAAAGGTAAGACAGTAACAAGATAACCTCAATCCCGTCCAGCGCGGGCAAGATCATATCAAAGCAGTGTTTCTTAGGTTCCCTTGCAAGATGATATCCCGCACTACATCACGCGAGTGAGAAAGAGAACGCGGATAAGTTTGATGAGCCTGAGACGCACCAGTGAGAATGATAGTTCGCGTGCTTCGTGTATCTATCACCGAAGTTCCGTGAACTGATGTCGCAGATTCCTTGTCAAGTTATATCCATATCACGACAGTGGAATACACACTGTAAAGTTCGCGGTCCCGGTTTGGAGAGTAATGTTGATGTAATGCGCCGAATTTGAGCTTGAAGTCTATCCATATCCGTCAGTGATATAGTGCATCGGACGGGGACGAGAAGATGATCATACAGCCATACACCGAGTCATAGTCGTTCGGTTTATCGCGGTAACCTGACATATGATGCCGTAACTTCACGCCACTTTCGAGTTTTTTCTGCAATCAAATGAGTCTCTGAGGCGAATGAGACAAATTTCGAATCCTTACTCGTAGGAGATCACACTTGTCCCATGCCGGAGTCAGTGATCAGGATGGCCCCGGAGCGGCGGACGACGCACCTTATTCAAAAACAGAATTATATTCACGTTTGCCAACAACTTGTTCGATACCACCGACTGCCACAAGTAGAGCGAATCCTCCAGTCGATTCGTCCGTGGGTCCTGCTCGCCGCCCCGGCATAAGTCAGCGCCGAACGGAGTCGCACATCCGTTGCTACGCACCTCTGCGAGCACCTGATCGAACGCGCTGATGGGCGCGAGGAAGATTATGGCATCGACTGCAGAAGGAAGCGTTCGCACGTCAGTCCACCCCCGGGGTATGTAGGAGGGCGTAGGTGATGGGTATGCGTTGCGAGGTGAGCGTACCGTCATCAAAGTACGGTGCCCACGCCTGCCGCTGGGGACGCGCGCCACCAACATCGTAGATCTTCCACTCGACGCCGCGGAACTCAGGGTTCGAGACCGTGAACGTGTGTTCGACGACGCCTGTCGTCTTCAATCGTGCCTTGAGAACATCATCTGTGCCATGTCAGCACTTCGTGTGATTCTTCCCCGCGCGACGTGAGAACTGACCGTCGGTAGGGAAGTACATCTTGGCTGTGATGCGGTCCAGCTCGTCGAGGTAGCTATCCCAAGGTGGTGAGGGGGGCAGCAAAGGGCATCCTGGGCAAATGACAACTCACAAGCCACTACTCTCCTCAAGCCTGATGCGCCTCTCTGTCAGCTTCTGCCTCACCCTCTTGTCCCTCCACAGCTCCGCGATGTACGGTGCGCAGCGGTTGATGATGTGCACGGGGTCTTCTGGGTCTTCCCACCAGCCTTGTAGCTCGCCAGAGTGGACGTTTTTCGGACTTTGTATCCTCCCAAGCGAAAACGCCTTCTTCCAGTTCGACGTCGTGCGCACCGACGGCTCGGTCCCCGGCGTGACAGGCGACGTCGGCAGCGAGTGCGAGCCCGAGGCGGGGATGACGATCCGGGGGAGGACCTCGCCGCTCACCTCTCCCTCGTACGCGCGCGCGCCGTTGCTGCTGCTGCTGCCGGCGCGCGGGAGGTGTGTCGCCTCCTTGTCGACGTTATCCTCCGGGTCGGAGAGCTGCGTGAGCAGGCGGTGCTCGATGTCGAGGAGCGGCGCAAGGTTGCGCACGTACCGCTCGAAGGGGATGCCGCCCCTGCTCTGTTGTGCAGCGGCGCCGGCGTGCCCATGTCCGTTTCTCGCGCTGATGACGATCGTCGCTGGCTCGGTCGCCTCCTCGTAATCGTCGTCCACTCCGTTGTGCGCGGCGTCGGCTTCCGGCGAGATCGCATCGAGAATCCTGTGGGACCCCACCGCGCCCGTACGTCAGCGTGAGTGCCCACGGCAAGAGCGACGGCAGCACATGCTTACCTTCGCACGGAGCGGAGCAGGTTCAGATATATGACGAATCGCCAGGCGATGCGCTCTGCGTGAAACGCTTGGGGTGTGTGCAGCAGCTGAAACTCTGCAATCAGACGTTCAGTACGTGTAGTTTCGGCATCGCACCAACGAGTCGGGCCACGGCAAGCGGTGGCACGAAGATCTTGCACAGCTCAACACCGCCATCGAGAGGAGTCGAGCGGATGTGTCTCATCTCCGAATGCGCTGCAGCGCTGTGGTACATAAGAGTGCACCTCGGGAGGCAGTGGCTGGTTGAAACCCCACGGCATACAGCACACATATCGAGCCCAATGGCACTTTCAACGGCAGCAGTTCTCCCGCATGCAAGGAAGGCAAGTAACCCGGGTAACATGCCAAAAAAGACAAGGAATATTGGTGTCTGAAAGAGTCGTGACTCACGTTTCAAAGTAGTGCTCTTCCCGCTCTCGCTTTGGCCGAGCAGGAGGACCTTTATCTGTTTTTGTTTGCGATTCCGTCGCTCGGTGTCGCGGAGCATTCTGTCTATAGTGTCGCTGCGCTTTTTTGCCTCCTGCTCGGCGTGCAGCCGGCCCTCGCGCTCCTGCTGGGACTCATCTGCGGGAGGTTGGAGGGCAGCCAGGAGGGGGTCCGATATCGAGCGGCGACGCCCCGAGGGCGGTTGCATGTTCCTGTTCATGATGGAACACGAGAAAGGTGCAGCTCGCAGTGGCAGTACAAGGTTTACTAGGACGGAATCCCCGACAATTGGCGCCTTGTGGCCGGAGTACGCTAATATATGGCGCGGGGGTCAGCTGTGGGCATCAGAAAGACTGGAGGGAGGCTGGCCAGGTACAACCTTTCGAGAAGCTGGATCCCGGAGTGAAATACTCCTCAATCCGGACGTGCGCTTCGTGGGCGCCCAGGTGGGGACAAGGCCAGCGCCGCCGCTGCAGGAGGCTGATGATAAGGCGGCACTGCAGAGATCTTGATGCTGTGCTCGCTGTGCAGAGCAGGTGGTGGTGCAGGCCAGCGACAAGCCTCTGTGCGCCGCCGTTGCCTGCCAGCTCACCAGGGGCGGGACAACGGGGCATTGTTGAGAGACATGTCCATTCGAAGTTTCCAGCGCATGGGCGGCTAGCTAAACTCAAGACCGGCGGTGTGGCGTCCTCCTTTGTCGATCAGACCAGGGTCGGAAAGAAACTCCCCGGTCGCACTTTCACTTCGGACGTATGCAGACTCAGCAGCGGCGCAAGCCATCGTCTTTTCGTATTCTCCGACTCTGCACGCACGGCCAGAGCACACACCCGACCGGGAGCGGCCCAGCAGGGCGCAGGGTCACTGGGGGGACATGCCGTACGTCCACGAGGTTCCGAGCCCCTAGAAGGCAGCCTTTCGTATTCGCACTCGCGCGGGCGCAGACACAAGGTCGCGGACCGCTTTTCTAGAAAACGAACCATGGAACACGGACGATGGCTCCTCGGACGCACATGGGAACACAGCTGCGCTGCAGTGGTATCGGGGGGTTTATATAACATCGGCGGACTGGGCGCGATACGTATGGGTGTTCCCTTATGCTACTGCTCATTACGACGCTCGGACACGGCCAGACGTGTGTGCTCACACGACATGCATCGCACAGAAGGAGGTCTCATGATGAGAACTCGCAGGACTGGACACCCGAGAACTCAGCTGCGCCCTTGGAGCGGGATCCCAGTCACAGGGTCCGACAATGGCGTGTGCGCACGACGGGCCGTACAATACGGCCTCCTTCCCAGGTAGTCGGGTGCATTGGTCCACACAATGATAATGTCCATAAGCAGGCCGCTTAGTCTGGCCTTTTCGATGTGTGACCGCGAGGAGACCGTGGGTATCCCAGGAGACGAGAAGAGCAGCTGTCTACCCGGGCAGGATGCAGGTCGTCCAATGAAGTCATACGGACTGCGCAATCCCGTTTGCCCCTGCCGCGGGCGACCCCTGTGAGGATGTTCCGTAGACATGCCGGGCGTGCTCCCTTGCAGGGTTCACTCATCTCGAACAGTGATAGTGCGGGGCCCAAGTAGAGTTCAGCGGAGGCGCAAGGCGAAAGCCGAGAGAACCGCCGTCGGCCACTAGTCTAGTTGCAGGTCAATACAGTAGCGACTGGATTCGCAAGGAGCCGCCAGCGACGCTCACGGAAGTTACACCTCCGAAGTGGCCGGACCCGCTACATCCGCGGGTAAAAGCAGCTCTGGATAGCTAGGGCGGAGACAGATGGAGCCTGTTCACCACGATTGGTCGGCGGAATGGCTGGTCCACAGTTGACAAGTAGAGAGGCTGCCAGCCATCTCTCGATGACCTTGAACGAGACGACCATCATCTGGCGGGAAGCGCAAGGATCAGTTAGGATCACCGAGACCATCTCGTAACATGTCACCCAGAGTTCATCAGAGAGGATCGCGGCAGGATGAAAGCAGACACATACACACCAAAGCGCAGGAGTGCTCGTAGCGTCTCGCTCACCTGGCAGATGTGTTCATGCGCAGGTCAGGGCGACAGCATCGCACCGTTTCCCGGACTTGCCAGCTTAGCTCGGACCGGTATGGGGGCGACGCTGTCGGAGCGGCATGTCCAAGAGCTGCGGTGTAGCGTCCTATTTCGTCGGACGATATGTTGCCCTTAGAACTTCCGAAGGCGGGGCTGCAAGAAGTGCAATACTCCGACTGAGACAGGCTACAAAACATGACCTGGCCCATCCGTCAACCACTGTCACCCCTGCGTCTCAGCATGTCAAAGGAATACAAGGATGCTCGACGGTCGAGGACAAGCGGCTCGCCAAAGTGGTCAAGGGCCCGCCCGGATCTGAGATTGGCTTATGTAAGCGCGCCTCAAGGCATCCGCTCGCGCTCCCGACCCTCCTCCTCGCACCTCAACATTTACGACCACCATCTACGACCATCATGCCACAAGTATACCGCAGACACTCTGAAAATGTACAGCGGCCGCCGCCAGAACCCCGCCGACGCTCCAGCCTGGCCGCGGGCCCACAGCTCACCGACGCCGACGACTCGATCGTCCTTTCCGACCTCGTTCGCACAGGTGAGGCCTCTCGCCTGCGACGACGAGGTGCCATGCGCCTCGACCACGGTCTCTCTGGCGCCCCACGACCACTCTCAACCTCTGCGCTGCCGCCCATCGGCGTCATCGGACCACCTCAGCCTTCTCCGGGCAGGCCGTTCGCTTTGCCGGCCCAACCAACAAGGCCTCTCACGCCACCGTGGGCCATGGGGAATGCCGCACGGGACGAAACTCAAGATATGTACGCAGACATTATTGGCGAAGATCCCAGCGACGCTTCGGGTACGGTTGCGCTCGACGAGCAGCGTCGTGTGGGCGAGCACGAGGATGACGAGGAGAGTTTTGTGCTGCATTGTGGAGGAGAGATAGCCAAGGTGCCTCCCACAGACTATTCGAGACCGTATACGCCATCACCTCTGCCTCTTCCTCCGTCCTCAGCAAGCACAAGTTCTCACGGTCGCGTCGTGCCCCGAACAAACGGTTGTGGTGCAGTCATCCACTTGCGCGCCTTTCCGCAGAAAACACGCGGCGTATGGGTGGGCAAGCGGGAGGCCACCGAGGCGGTTGTTGCTATGGACTCGGTTTACTTCGAGCGCAGTATCGTTGCGCGCATGATGAAGAGCGCGTGCGGTTGCGTGCGTGAGGGGGTCGGCTGCGCGGTATGCGGCAATCCGCTCGGGACGCGGTACATGCCCTGTCAGGCTGCTTCCGAGGGCATCTTCACCGCGCGCCACAAGCAATCAACGCCCCCAAGGCCATCGCGCCCACAGTACCCTGCTGGTCCGCAGTATTATGCGCCAGCACGAGCGTCCTCGCTATCGCGGTCTCATCACGCAGATGCGTCTGGGCGCCTGTCGAGCAGCACATTCTACGTCTACACATTCTTTGCCGATCATGTCTCGTCGTTACCGGCATGTCCCTTTCCTGCCGTAGAGAAGACCGAGCACCAGCCCATCGTGAGCTCACCCCTCCGGCCAACGACCTGGCTAGGCCCTACGCCCTCCGCCTCTCCCCGTTCATACTCCCCGCCCTTCGCCGTCCCCTCTACACCCGAACCCGCGCCCATTGAGCCGCTCAACGCCATGCGCCGCGCGCCACCGCGGCGCGACTCCGTCTTCTTCGAGCCGCCCCCAGGCTCGGGGCTCGCCGAGGAGGACTGGATGTTCATCAGCCCCGAGGTGGCGCGCGGTTTCGACGGGGACGAGGTCGATGCAGGCGAGGGCGGCTTCGACGACGACGACGACGACCGCGTGTCGGTCGACATGCAGCTCCGCGGCGTCCTCGATGCCGACGGTGTGTTCGTTGAGCCTGATGTCGCGAACGACCCCGACTCGCCTGACAAGACCGAAACAGTTACCTGGCCGGGGCGGTAAAAAATGTAATACGCTCTGTATTCGTCCTCCCTCTCATGACATCGATACCCCCGGGGCTCCCTGCTATGAATGTTGTAACATAGCCTCGCTTCTTGTACAGGTTGGATTTCGCTTTCGCTGCGCTGTTGGGCGTACGTCGGCCACACATCATCACTGACGGCCACACATAGAGTACCTACCACATGCATCTGCTTCATCATATACTTCCTCATGACCTGATCCACGGCCTTTTCTTACGGTATAATTCTTCTGCATGTTGCTGACGATGTACCTCTGTATCATATATTATTGGCTTGGACATAATGGATCTAAGTGGGCTCTGTCTGGGATGGCGAAGCATCATGAAGCAATCGCGGTGCGCAAGCCTTGTTGGTGAGTCTCGCATCTCGCAGTACGCAGTAGACCATCTAATTTACTACGCGTGCTCAGAGAGACGACCGTGCCGCGACACGCTGCATCCGCACAGGGAGCTCGGCATAACGAATGCACATGCCCGACCACAAGCAAGCGCACTCCTCTCAGCTGAGCCGGCGGTTGTTGAGGCGTCTGGAGCAAGTCGGGCAGCGGTATTGCACTGCCCTCAGGGCGGCGCGCCTGCCACTGTCGTGGACGACCGTTGACGACTGTTTGGGCGTGGCGCGCATTCACGAAGCATCCCGTGTCGCAGAAGTCTAGCTCGGGGCCTCGGTCGGACACAGGATGGCGATCCGTGTTGGCAGGTGAAGCCGTGCGGCAGTTAGACTCCAGAGCTTGACTGTTGACTCGTAGCGTTTCCTGGGACGGCGAGGCGGTGTGATCTGCTGCTTCTCGCACAGTAAGCGAGGCATCTCGGCGTCATATTCTGCATGCAGTGACATATGCCTGTGTTGGCTCTTGGGTGGCTACACCTTTAGTTAGACGTTACGCCATCGGATGACGAATCTAGCTACTCCGCGAATGAACAGCTCGCATAGTAAGCATCGGAGTTAACATCATCTAAGCCATGAGGCGACCATGCCTGCACACTGGCAGGCGTGTGCCCAATGATTTATTCCGGTAAAACAAGACATAGCTTACGGCGCTGCCGTGTACGTTGGCTCACGAGCGATTAATCACGAACTTCGAAGTATGACGCTGCCGAACATGACCAGGTTGGCCCATATTCAAAAGATGGCGACAGCTCAGCTCAGCCCAGCCAGATGCTTATCGGAAATGAAGGTAATTAACGTAAACAATTGACTCAACACGGCCGAGGCATGATCAGCCATGCTGGCGTGGTACGTATGCCGGAACACAAAACGTATTCTGCAATCTATTCCATAGTATTAAGCGAAGTTTATGTGCTACTCGTGCAATCTGCTCGAATGTCCGTCCTCAAACTTGATATCTTCGGCTTATGTGCTTTTCTCTTCTATAAGATTTCTTCGATTATGACTTGACGGGCACGCCATTCGTCTCGCGCTTCAGCTTCTCCGCAACGTGCTGCGCGCGGGGTGCGAGCTCGCCCTCGGGCTCACCGTAGCCCCACGGGTTCTTCGTCTGCCAGTTCCACAGATCCCGGCACATCGTCTCGAGGTCTTGCGGCGCCGTGAAGCCGAGCTCCTTCTGCGCGAGCGCCGGGTCCGCGGTCAGGTCAGGGACGTCTCCTCGTCTACAAAGCGCGCACGGGCATCAGCCAACGCAGCTCATTAAGTGCCAAAACACAAAATGGAAGGAGACGTACCTCCGTCCGACGATCTCCCACTCAAAGTCGTAGCCGGTCGCCTTCTTCATCGCCTCGACGATCTGGAGCACGCTGACGCCCTTGCCGCGGCCGAGGTTGTACGCCTTGAAGCGCGCGTCGGCCGGGCAGTTGTCGAAGACCTTGCTCTCGGGCGCGAGCGCGTCGAGCGCGAGCAGGTGCCCCTTCGCGAGGTCGAGCACGTGCAGGTAGTCGCGCACGCAGGTGCCGTCCGGCGTCGGGTAGTCGTTCCCGAACACGCGCAGCTTGCTGTCCTTGACGCGTCCGATGGCCATGTGTGCGAGCAGCGGAAGCAGGTTTCCAGGTCGGCCGCGTGGGTCTTCACCAATCTGGCCGGATGGGTGTGCTCCTGCGGGGCTGTGACGAAAGGTTAGACGATGGAAAGAGTACATTTGCGTGTCCGCACGTACTTGAAATACCGCAAGGAGAGTGCTCGCCATCTCTGGGGTTCTGCTGTGAGGCTCATTTAGCTTTGGGCTCATGCTTTCATGTAAAAAGTGACACACAGGCACAGAGATCCTCAAGGATGGTTTCGCTCATAACTTTGGTTTTGCCATACGGACTGTCTGCCTTCAGCCGGGTGGTCTCGGGGATGGGGATTACTGGAGGAGTTCCGTAGACAGTCGCGCTGGACGAGTAGACCATGCGGGTACAGTCGAATTCTTCCATGACTTGAAGGAGATAATTCGTCGCAGAAACATTGTTCTCGTAATATATCAGAGGAATCTGTGTTGACTCGCCGACCGCTTTGTATGCCTAACCAACAAGTCAGGTTTTTCGAGGCGAAGCAAGAATTTGTCGTACTCACCGCAATATGGATCACACCCCAAATGCCGCCCTTGCCGTACTTCTCGAACACGGCCCGTATCTGGTCGCGCTTCGTGAGGTCGCACGTATGGCCATCGATCTCGGCGGTGTCCTTGTCCTGCTCGGACGCGTCCGGTGGAAGCGAGTCGCGAGCAAGCTGTGCGACGCGGTCGAGAGACTCTGGGTGGGCGTTGTGCAGGTTGTCAATTGAGATGACTTTGTACCGCCGAGTTGCCTGCAGGGTGTAGATGACGTGTGAGCCTGGATGCCAAAACGAGACGGATGCGCGGTTAGTCATGATGAGTTTGCACGGTAAGACGTGGCTGTGCGCACCGATGTACCCTGCGCCTCCGGTAACCAGGACGTGCTGTGCAGGGCGTTCAGTGCGACGTCGAGCAGAGTCAAGGCGGCACACGCACCTTGAGTGGTTCTTGCGATGACATGGCGTTTTCGTTAGGTCCTTCCTGGGGTCAGCACGAGAGTCGGGGTGTATGAGCAATGAGAAGAGAGGCGTATGCTTGTCGTATGTTGCGGCGAGGAAGTAAGGGTCCGCGCGCAAGCGTCAGGACTGGGTGAGCTGGTAACTTTTTTTCTGATCGAGTATATACCACTGCGAGCCGATCTCGATCTCGGACTGGACGACTAGACTAGATAGATATCCACGTGGTGGGGCACTACCCCCGGATTTCATCGGTCCGGCGCACCCGCTCCGTGTCTTCAACCGCCATCCAGAGCCCATGGGACTGACGAGGATCACCTAGGCGGAGTGCCTATCGCGATCTGCGGGCCCGGCATCGCTCTATGCGGCCGGTTCATCGCACCCTCAGCAAGCCTCAGCACCGAGGTCGCTCTCGATGATGCAGGGCCGGTCTGAAGCAGGCCTGAGGTCCAACAGCTGCATCATCGTCCCGCCGGCAGGACGAATAATCTTTGTGGCACAGTGACAGGGCGCATCGATGGCCTGGCGCCATGGCGCTGCCAGAACGAATAGCCGCCTATGACCCGCCTCTAAGTCTTTCCACTGTACATGTCCAGGGACATCTAGAGGTGTGTCGAGTCAACATGTTTAATCATGCTCTGCGAGTTGCAGCTGCACCTGGCCATATGCATGCGGCTACGTCAATTGATGTGTTTGCTCAACACGTTCTTGTACGTGAAGAATTGTTACGTATTCCGAGATCTGAACGTCGATCCTCGATGAGCGAGGAATGTGAAGTTTGTGGAGGACAGTAAAAGATTACAAAGCTTTGCCTGGCTTGTCCGACACGCTATCGTAATTACTTGCCGTCGATTTCACCTTCTGTCATACAGCCCGTTTTTGGTCAGGTTAGAGACCAAGATGTCCGGCATCAAGCCTTTGAGTCCTGAACTGACATGTCTTCCTTAAGCTAATACATGATACACCATTTTTAATATCACAGTAAGCTCCAAATAATGCTGTGCGTGTTTCAAAGTGACGACGTAGTGGAGTCCAAGCAAGTTACGGAACTACAATCTGCTCTTCCCACTCAAATCCGTCAGCGAAATCCTTCCGTGTGAATAACGTCCTGCGGTTCGGCGACTCGCCAAGCTGCACCCAGTCGACCCTCGCAGGCTCAAAAACGATCATCGCAAAGTTGCTCAGTGTAAGCCCATAGTTCTTCCTGTCTTCATGTGTCTTCAAATCCTCGAAATTCGGCACCTCCGTCGGCCAATGTTCTTTTGTTGGTACGTCATAGGACGCCATGGGCGACCCCGGCGTGAGCGGCGCGCACCAGCTCGCCTTCATCTGCGGCTTCATCGCCTCGAACACCTCGCGCCGCTTCCTCTCCCAGTCATACTTCCCGTCTGGTGCCCGCATGTTCTCGCCATCCTCACGCTCCTCGCCTGCCTCGTCGAGCGCTTGCGCCGCGAACAGCTGCGGCGAGACACTACGCAATGCGTGGTCCGGCGGGGACACGACAAACGCCTTCGCCTGGATACGGAACTGGTCGTTTGAACCTTCCATCCACCAGCAGAGCTCGACGGTCGCGTTCGAGAGCATCTGCACGATCTTGGGGGCGCGCACGTCGCTCGATGTGACGAGCAGCGGGAGCTGCGGCGTGCTCTTTGGGATCAGGAAGCTGCGGTGCACTTGAGTGCGGACGTGCGGGATGTTGTGTGAGTCGACGGTGGCGACTTGGTAAACTTGCATGTGCAATCCTGCATGTTGGATAGCGCCTCTGAGCATTCGGAGGGGTGTGCTCACCAATCTTGCCCTGGTTCTCGGGGACAGCAAGAGCACTCTTGATCGCTCTGATCCAGCGCGGTGTCGACATGGTGTATTATCGTCGTCGTCGCTGTTCAAGAGGGCTTACTCGTGAAAGGTCGTTGTCTGACGTCATCGTCCCAGACGCGATCAGGTGAAGTGCGTCACATCACGCGTCACCTCCGTTCGATTTATCTTCGGCATCCTCCATCCTCTAGAATCTCATCCATCTTCTTGCCGGCTTCATGTCATTTCACAAACACATTCTATACATCTCATAGATTCATGACTTCTCACAAACATACCCAAGCAAAAATGGATATCGACGATACCCCTGACTTGAAGGAGCCAAAAGCTGAGAAAGCCGCGCACGAAGTTCTTCCGGATATAACAGGATTCACCACGGACATACTCTATGCGAGATACGAAGAGCTCTGGTTTGAGGATGGAAACGTGATAGTTGTTTCGCATGACGTGACATTTAAGTTGCACGCGGGTGTTCTCAAGCGACACTCAAGTGTATTTCGGGATTTGCTGAACGAAAAGAAGGCTACCCAAGCCGAAATATATGAGGGATGCCAAGTACTACGGTTGACAGACAGGGTTGGTGAACTCGCTGAGCTGTTCTTCATTATGTACGACGGTGGCAGCAGGTGCGTGTGCCTCTTTCAAAGCTGCAATCATGACTAACTATCGCGCCTCTGAAGGGGCTTCTTCGACTGGCGGAAACCCGTAGACTTCACAGATCTGCGCAGGGTCACTCTCACTGCAGTCAAATACAACGTCGAGCACATCATCAGAGAGACCATCGCGCGCCTCGAAGTTCCCTTCCCCGTCATTTTCGACAGCACCCGCGTCGAGAGCAGCGCCTACATCGGCGCACGCCCGGGCTATCCCGTCCACTGCGCCCCCGATGATTGCATTGGTGCCGTGGCACTCGCGCGGGCGATCAATGCGACTCACCCACCCGCGTTCATCGTCATGGCGCTCTACCAGTGCAGCCAGCAAACACCCGAAGGGCTCTTCGAGCCCGTGCAGTACGACGGCGAGCGCGTCCCGCTCCCCCGCGATGACCTCGTGACATGTGTGTCCACGCCCGACCGCCTGCTTGAGGCAAGCCGGAAGGTAAAAAGCCCCGTGCTCGACGCGCTCGAAAGTCCGCGCTGCGCAGCTCAGGCATGCCACGCTAGCCTCGCACGGCTCGTATGCGACTGGGTGCGCGAGGGCAAGCTCCCGGACTTTGCGCCGCTCAATGCCTGCGACGTGCTCTTCCAGAAGCATGCGCAGAAGTATCCCGACTGTAGGCTTTGTGACTCCTGCGCCGCAGAGCTCATGGACGCGATCGACGAGCGGCGGCGCGAGGTGTTTGATGACTTGGGCAAGGTATTCAACGTCCCCGGCTGGCCTGTACAGACTGAATCGTGAATATTATGTAATGTGGATCATGTCTTGACTGTAATTCTCGATAACAATCTATCTGCACGAGCCTGAATATCCGCATCTTACATCCATATCCAGATGTGTGCCCATAGTGGACACACATAACAGCTCTCGTGGATGTCTCACGAAGTATCGATGCATAAATGCGATGCCGCTCAGCTGTCATGGGCAATCATGTTCGCACGTCGTGACACCGCGAGATGTCGCCGTCCTATTATCTTCCCCAACCGCTGAAACATCTTGCTCGGCGAGTACGCGTTGTCCGAGTATCGATGCGGAAAAATGCTGTACTGTCAACAGATGGCTGATTCCTCTCATCTATCCTCACCCTCTTCCTTGTTTCCGTCCTCATCCTTGCTCCCTGGGTCGTTTTATGGATCTTGTTCCGGAGGCTATGACAGCTCAAGGGAATGGGGAAAAACCAGGAATCGCTGTATGTGCTAGTGATTGTCTTTTGTATGGATAGTAATGATCATCGGCAGCTAATTAGGAAGGCATAGAATATATAAATGTTTCTCATAGGCGATATTTTCAAGTCATAAGCTAATAAAGTGCCGTATGCCGTCTGCAAAAAATATCTTTCCCCATCCACCGCGGGTATGCTACAAGGTTGCGTGTGATTCTGCATTATTGTCTGGACCAAATAAACGGAAAAGAGAAAAGAAAAAGAAGAGAAGAGAGAGAACACAGGTAGAATAAGAAGAAGAGAGAAAGAAAAATAAGATTGACTACTTAAAGCCTCTGCAGGACGAGCTTTGTAATGGCGACTATGACCGCCAAGGGTTTGCTATGCCACGGAGCCCTATTGAACCCCATATGAGATAGTCACTGTCTGATTAGTGTCTTTGGCAGGGCAAGCGTCATGCAATAGCATAAGTGAGACGTACGAGAACACTCAGACTTTGGCTTGGATGCCGGCAGGCCAAGTGGAAATATTGAATATCTTTCCCAGGTCCGCAAAAAGTTCGCGGCGCCGCTCATTGATGGCCTTAATCAAACCTTCCTCGCAACTCTTGCATACCTTCTTGTTGGGGTGTTTCTCTGCGTGCCTCCGGAATCCTCGTTCGCACGAGCTGAGGGGGTAAGGACCTGAAAACATGCCGCTCCGGATCCACTCGCATACGAGGCTTTTCATGCCGCTATGGCAAACCTTGCTGCTGCACATCGGCTTGTCCAAAGCATCAGCAACTGGGCCTCTGACTTTCCGGACGGCTGTCTCCAGGCTGGTGATGGCGCCGAGGCACGAAGAGAGATCGACAGAAGCCAGCTGCTCGTCATAAGATTGTAAATCGAGGAGAGTCTTCGCGTCGAAACTGGTACAACGGTATAAGGCCATGACGATAAACGGAGGGGGGTTCTCATGGTCAATCGCTCTGGCCAGTGCTGCGACACCAATAGCATTAGCAGCTTCGGGACAATGCACCGGATGCCCTTCATGAACGCCTATGTAGAAGTCAGAGTCGAGACGGTCGGGGTCGAAAGAGGTTGGGAAGAGGTATTCCAGACGAACGACGGCTTCGTCAATAATGTGCTGGACCTTGTACTTGATGGCAACAAGTGTGATTCGTCGTAAGTCTGTAAACTCAATGGGCTTTCTCCAGTCGAAGAAGCCTCTGCAAGAGGCCGAATGAGCACGGTAGATGATGTTTGAAGCCTCGAGTACGCACCCGCCGCCATCATACAAAACCCGGAACAACTCAGCCAAATGCACACCTTTGTCATCAACACGCAGTACCCGGCAGCCTTCAAAAAGTTCTGGAGGATTATGACGAGCCTGTGCATCGTTCAGCAGCTCGCTGAAGACGCTCGAGTGCCGCTCGAGGACGCTGGCGTGCAACTTGAAGGACATCTGGTCTGCGGCAATGATGACGTTTCCGTCGTGCCACCAGAGCTCTGCATGCAGTGGTTGGAAGGCCTCCATTGCGTGTTGTGAGGCGAAAGCGGTGCTCGCGTTTTCTCCCAGCTTCTCGAGCTTTCGTCGCTTCTTGCTTGGAGTGCCATCGTTCCCGATGTCGGCCTGTATCTGCAAGCGGCGGACCATTCTGTATGGTAAAATCAAGCGAGATGACCAAATAAAAACTCTGAAGCTGAAGTCTGAGCCCGAATATAAAAAGTTACAGGGTCTCCTGCCAAGGTGAGTAGTGCTCACCAAAATTATGATTACATACCATTATAATCTCAGATTAAGCATATCTTAAGATTAATTATGGGGGTCTCCGTAATCATTCTCCTACTCGTACGCACGGCATATCATATGCGTACATATGCATATCGTAAATTATGCTGCCCGTATGTAATCTGTATGCTACATATGTTGGACCCCAGAAGGGCCGAGATTTCAGATACAGCGCACACCACCCGCACGCTCAAGAATCGCACACCAACGCGCTCTACAAGTCCGAGCACAGAAACAGCGTCAGCCCTTATGTAATGGGCATCGGAATTCTCCGGATGTCGACATGCAGCGGTCATGTCAGTGCGTCACGAGCGTTCCTCAAGAGGTAGAGGCCGAAGTTTGCCTCTACACTGGCTAGGATTGACCATGCAAGAGCCAAGCTCATGAAGAAGTCCCTTGTGGGGAAGTGTCTGCTGCTAGCCTGTTCACAATGACGGCCGGGAACAGCATCGTGCGTTCCTCTTCCTCCCTCTCCCCACTGACTGCGCCTTGACCTGCCCCCTTTGACATTGCCGCAGGACATCGTCCGGAAGCTGCAGCACCGGGCGCACGGACCCGCCGCGTGCGAGTCTGATCGGCTCGGCGGCAGGACACATCTCATTGCACCAGACAACACCGGCGTCGTGCACAGCATGCCGTCGTCCACGAAGAGCTCCGGCAGCGGCAGCACGGCGTCCGCGCTCTCTTATAAACTCCCGCTCGCATCTGTGCATCTGCCGCTACTCTTTGACGCGCCTGCGGGGCGGTCACACCGACTCACACGCAAGCGTCGGCGCCGTGTACGAGTATCAGGACGTGCACTTGATCCACGTCTCGGACATGCACATCCTCGGCGGGGGCGCGTTCTTGTTCGACCTGTCCGGGCTGTGGCCGCTCCCGCTGCGCACCGATGGCAAGCCCGACTTCCAGATGCTACATGAAATTTTGGGGTACTTTGAGCCCGACCACTTCGGCGGTGAGGTGGGCGTGCAGATGTAGTATATCACCTTGAGAATGTGTCCAGTAATGTACAGCTGTGTCGGTGATTTGATGCTTAGCTACCTTAGTATACTACCTTCGCCTTGGAGGTCGATACCACCTGAATCTTATTACATATGATTAAATATGATTACTTAAAATTAAATACGCGTAAGATTATGCATATCATAACTTACGGCGTCCGTGTACGCTGTACGCAATTCTAATGCATACATATCCCCAAATTTCGTATGTAATCTTAATTAGTGAGCACTAAAGGTGAGTACAAAGACGCAGCAGAGACGAGCAAAAGCCGCACCAGCGTCGAACGCGATCACATGAATACTCGTCACATCATGCGCCATCGCGCGCCGCCTTCCGCTGAAAGTTCACTCGTGGATATGGGCGTCAAATGTCCATTGCCAATTCCCCTGCATAGTGTCATTCAGGACAATCATAGCACTCAAAATAAATATGATCTTGAACTGCAGACGGCAGTTGTCGCATGCAGACCGGTACAAATCTGTATATTTATATTTGCGAAGGTGGGTAGTCATATACATGGTCATGGTATAGGTACACGCAGCTGCAAAATGTCCAAGGCTCGAGTGCAGTAGATGGCGGGAAGGCACCCAAGAACAGCAGCGTTGCTGGAAAGCAGTATTTCCGTAAGTATTAACATACACAGAGGGTCGTTACATGGCCCTCTACCCAAACAACGCGTCATCGCTACCAAACAGGGACCCTTCACTCCACCTGAGTCTGCCATTGCAGCGCAGCTCAGTGGCGGCACCGGCCGATGTGATGACGGGCAGAGGGTACGCGAGGTTCAAGCCCTGTTGTGCCTCCCCCTGTGTGGCCTGTGCCTGCAGCGTTTCCGTTCGGCCCTGCATACTACATCAGCCAGTCAATCAAGACATGTATAACTGTGGTGCATGCGCTGTTGGTGAGTAAGGTTTGGGTGTTAGTCATCCTTGCAAACTGCCAAACCATAGGGCACAGGAGAGAGAACGTACCCTTTACAAACGTTACTCGGTGGTGAAGACTGGAAGTACCAAGCCATTGTGTTAAGGTCACGGTACCAGTGATGGCTGCGCCTTGTCCCAGGGCCAGCCAAACTCATGCAAGGATGCTCACGCAAGAACTGCCAGGCTCCGCTAATCGCTAGCGCCCAAGGACGTCTAGTCCTTTCTGTATTCGCCTTGCAGTTAAAGCTTGTATGACCGATAACGCACGGCAGGTACGTGAGTTGTCACTCATATGCAGGCTGCCTGGGGGCTCAAGTCGGGTGTCAGCTGCTGAAGCAAGTAGGCACCACGATCAGCAATGAGACGCAAGTTGCGGGCTTCTAGCTTTGAGCCTGCGATGCCTGATGGACATAGTGGAGACATGTGGAGAGGTGGTGCGATACTGCGGCTTGCAGGTTGGCTCGGGGCGCTAGATGGCGTGCGGTGCTGCATGACACATTCTGGGCATCGTGCATCGCACAACAGCAGAGCGAAGGTCGAGTGCTATTGTTGGTGTGCCGGCCCGGGGCATGCGGCGACGCGCAGCGAGTTGTGTATCAGTCTCAGGCTGACGTCACAAGCATGTTGAGTGGTCCTTGGGCCTTGTGTCTGGGTCGTAGGCAGTGCAAGATGAGGGGTAGAGAGCACCAGCCATGGAGTATACTCTATGGCAGACAGATCACTACTCTGTGAGATTTTTGTTTGAGCACGACACCAGAGTGAGGATCATATATGAGCACATGGGAAACTCTGACCTGGTATTTTGGAAGTGTGGAGGGACTGGATGCAGTGGAAATAACTGTGAAGGCTTTCACCACTCTGTGGTCTCATCTGTTTTGGACGTTCCTAACTGATAGTTTGTGTGTTTAAGTGTTGTATCAGTGAGATATGAATGAAATGATTATATTTGCAATGGTTGATACTCATACTTGGATGTCGTCGAGGGCGGTGGCCCAAAAGGCTTGAGTGCAGTGGGCCAGGAGCAGACAGCCGGAAGCTTTGCTTACGAGGCCGTGCTGCTTTCAGCTGACCAGAAGCGCTCCAGGGAGTGGATGACCTAGGATGACCTTCCACCAGCATAGCTGGTGATGGGTAATTTTGTAAGCATTAAATTATGTACAGACATGTTCAAGAGCAATAAATCTTTTAAATTTTGCACCGTCCTTCCCCTAGTAAACTAATGTCACCTACAGACAAGTGCTTGCTAAGTCTCGAGAAACCTGTCGTGCATGATGAATGGTATGGGCTACACTTACCACCATAATAATGACTCCTGAACGAAGACTGGTTGCAAACACGCCGCATCTTGCCACAGCTTCATCTACCTGCTTGTAACACACCTACGCAATCTGCCTATGTACTTATAGCCCTTATACAATGCTGCTATCTCTCCTGCTGTGCTATAAGCAATTCGTGTTCATGCTCTGCTAATAGTACTACGCCAAGGTGTTGATGTGGTTGAGCAGCCGCAGCGGGAACAGGATCTCGCTCAGGATCTCGTACCGCGCACTGCACTGGGGGTACTTCAGGGCGTTTGACGAGTGCGAGGCGTCTTGCTATGCGTTGCATATCCAGTTCAGAAGACAGCTCTTGTGTGCGATCAGGGTGCACTTGCACAGGTGGACCCATTGCACCCGGGGCTCCGATGGCACTACATAGGCTGTGAGTGAGCGATGGAAAACCGTGTGGGTCGGCTGCGACGTGTTAAAGTGCGACTGAACTCTTGCTTTATTCTGTGCTACAGGGCCAGTATATATACATGTGAGTCAGGACCTCTGATACCGCTATAAGACCTATGGTACTGTGAGCGTAAGCATGTATACTAAGCATGAGTAATCAGATGTCGTATTACTACAAGATAATAGAGGGATCATGTGATGATATCCCCATTAGTCCGTACAGGGCAATGACGTAATCGCCCAGTTCTGACACTCCCACTCGACTAGTTATTGCCTGATCTACTGAAGACCAAGCCTAGCATAGACCGGAAACGCTCGAATTTCGTTGCATCAAGTGGTTTCGTCAATGTGTCGGCGATCATTTCGTCCGTACTAACGTAGACTATATCCACTTGTTTTTCTTCTACGTATTCGCGTATGAAGTGATATCGAATGTCGACGTGCTTGAGCCTTCGGTCGTGAGCGGGATTGACTGCGAGAAAGATTCTTCCTTGGTTGTCTGCTACCAAAGGTGGTGGTGCAGTAGGAAAGTAACCTAACTCTTTTTGGAGTGATGTTAGCCAGGCTAACTCAGAGCATGCCTCCGAGAGTGCCATGTATTCGGCTTTCGTTGAGGATCTTGCCACCGTCTTTTGCATCCGAGATGCCCATGTGACTGCTCCATTGGCCATCAGGAAAATGAAACTGGTTGTTGATCGCCGGTTATCCCAATTTTCGCCCCAGTCTGCATCTGAATACCCTATCAAACCGGACTGATTTGAGCCAGAGTACCGGATACGATACTCGGTGGTATGACGGAGATACCGGAAGATGTGCTTCGCGGCTTCCACGTGCTGTGACGTAGGGTTTTGCATGTATTGTGAGAGTCGTGTGACTCCCCAGCGATGTCGGGTCGTGAACCCATCATCAATAGATGAGACTACCATCATAGAC